AATTACTGACAATGTGTCTAAAATGTAATTATTCACACCTTTACCTTATCTTAATTTTTAGGTAAAAACTTTTATGTAACCTATTTTTGTCTTTCTACCAGCCAATGATGATTCTGAAAGAAAGCACAGTGTTTGTTATAGTAACACATGCAGCTTTCACGCACATCTGACTGACAGAACCGCGCGCGCACCGGTGCTGTTAATGTTATGGTTATTTTAGCAAATAGTTTTCTCCATAAATTCAGTTCAGCAGCATTAAGTTGAAGAGGGTAAACTTTATCACTCGACTGAATCTACATGTGATTTTTAGGTGTTCTTGCTCTGTCCAAGCAATAAATGCACGTCTTTGAATGAGCGCTGTAGCGTATTCTTCAACCGCTCAGGTACTGTCAATACGACCCATTTCAGGAGCTGCCAAAATTATATTTTAAAATCAGTTAGGGATATAGAAATGCATATTAATATTTACAAGTAAATCCCCATATTATGCGTAGGCTAGCCTTCGTTCTATGTTTTTTAATCAAATAAATGCAGCCTTTCAAAAACATTTACAAAATCTTACTGACTCCAAACTTTTGAACAGCAGTGTATATCCTTTCTATTTTGGTTTCCATTAACTGTATATCAAATTACCCAACACATACATAGAGATAAATGTGATGCTAAATGACAGACAGAAAAGAGTGACATGGAGAAATGTTAAGAAATATCAGATTATAACTATTACTAAGGTACCTCTGGTTTTCAGTGGCCTGTCATTGCTCTCTGGAAATATGTAGGTGGGACGATATGGATTTTCTTCGACACGCTCTGAGTAAGGTGAGTGAAAGACAAAACACATGCTGACAAAGATGACTACACACATAGATACATGACTGAAATGTGACCTTCAGATTTGGACACACAAAAAGATGAAATAAAAGTGTTGATTGTATGTAATTCCCAAGGAGCATCTTTACCTGGGACTTTGTGAATCTGCTTGAACATGTTTCTGTACCAGTCCTTTGACAGCTCTGTGTTCTAGAAAACAAAATTGTACAGATGGTGTTTTATTTATAGAAGATTTTGGATATAGTTATGTAGTCAAAGTCTGCACAGGTATATCTTGAGAACTAGAAGTGGCTGTTTCTTACCCGTACTGGGACTCTGGGTGCTGGGATAGCTGAATGTTCAGACAGTCTCATTCTCTTTCCTTCCATGTCTGCTGGAGTCTCAGAGGAATATTTATTCTGGCTGACTGCAGGGCTCCGATTAGAGCCACTGCCCTGCTCCGCCACAGCTTCTGAAGCACAAACTCGGATCATAAGCATCCAGAACACAAGATAAAATACACACTGGTCTGGTTATTTCAGCTGACACTTATCTAGGACAAAATCTTTAAAAGCATCACTGAATGATTTAATATTTAAATGAATAAATAATTGCTACAGCTCTATTCGAACGGGAATTGTTTTTTCTAAGAAGGTCATATATACAGTGGGTACGGAAAGTATTCAGACCCCCTTAAATTTTTCACTCTTTGTTATATTGCAGCCATTTGCTAAAATCATTTAAGTTAATTTTTTTTCCTCATTAATGTACACACAGCACCCCATATTGACAGAAAAACACAGAATTGTTGACATTTTTGCAGATTTATTAAAAAGATGTACTTTGTAATTTAATTCTGTTGGAATCAAACAAGTTTCTGTTATTCTCACAATGCTATTCCTCATTCAGTTTAACAGTTGCTGAATACTGTAACTAAAAGTTAAATTTTTTACATTTTATACAAAATGTTTAATCTCCACTCCCGTAACCACACAACAGACACTACCACCTTAATAATAACTACAGAGATGCCATTCAGTCACGCAGACGTCTTATGTTAATTTTACCTCAAACATAACTTTGAGATAAACTAATCACAAGGGACAGAACATTCTAGTTTCTCTTTCTACATCGTGAAAGCATTTAGCTTTTTAATGCACATGATACTTTTACTTTTGGTCCATCCTGAAGTATTGAGAGGCTGGTATTTACCTCTGCTGTGCTGCAGCAAGACGATTGTTGGGTTGATGCTGCTGGTGGGGGGATATGAAGAGGACACTTTGGCTGATGAGGTAATAGCACTCAGCTGATCAAGGCAGGACGTGAGCTGAGACTGACTCTCACTTACAGGTGAGTCCACCTGAGGAGAACACACAAAAACGGACAGACACTCTAGTGGTTGTGAAATACAGACAAGTTTGAATTTCCCAGAATTCCTTATGGGGGAAATTTGCATGAAATTTGCTTCACTACACCTCTCTCAAGTAAACAATTGTTGCAAAGATTCCTCTGCAATGCTGATAAAGACAATGACAAATAGCATAGAATTGCACTTAAAGTATTTGGTTACTTCGAATTATTTGTCTTCTGTCTTGAGGAGGTCATCAACACCAGGAGTATTCAGCTTTATAATAACTTTTTTTTAAAGATTTATATAATGCTTAGCCAGTTTTATTTTTATAATATTATAGTTGGCTACTCATTTATATAATTTACACAAAATTACTATAATTAAAATATTTTACAAGGTCAGTTTTCATTTTAAAGGGATCAGTTGGTGGTAGCCATTGACTCCCATAGCATGGAAAAAAAATACTATGCAAGTCAATGGCTGCCAGCAACTGTTTGGTTACCAGCATTCTTCAAAATAATTTATTTTATGTTCAACAGAAGAAAGAAATTCATACAGTTTTGGAACAACACGAGGGTGCATAAATGATGGCATTTTCAGTTTTGGGTGAACTATCCCTTTAATTTTAATTTAAAGGGTTAG